TTCTGCATATTATATTTGATAACGCGTTCCCAATTGAACGGGTTTTGATTATGTTTAGCTATCTCTTCTTCTGCAGCTCTCCTTTCAGCCAGTATCTTCTCACTCACAAATTCCACAGGGAATGAGAATCTCTCGCATAGGTAAAGCAGAAAAGACTTTGCCTAAAAGCAGTTATGAGAAACAGATCAGAGAAATCAAACAAGAAAGAACAAATATAAAATTATTAACTAACAAGAACGCCAATCTATAAAATATTATGACAAAGTCAACTAACCTCTATTTCAGTAATATGACCGCCCACTTCAAGAATAATTCGTTTTGCTTTCACAGGAGTAACATAATGTTGAATACTACCCTTCCCACCACCAAGTCGAGTACCTGAAATGATAAAAATAGATGACATTTTGATGTAGAGGGACAAAATCGTCAACACAGAAAATCGAAACTATCTTAACATGTATGTTCAAGACTTTGACATAATTAGTCCGACATTATCATAAAAAAAGATGGGCAAAGCGACTAGGATATATTAGCAAAAGTCTACCTTGCGCCTTTTTGGTTCTAGGCAACCACGGAGCATCCACTCGCCATATAGCAAACTGTTTATCTAATAAGTTTTTGTTGACTCTTTCCTGTAACCTCGTAAAATAACGACATTTTCTTTAAAAACTGTAGTAGTTTAGATTAAACCTGTATGAACTTGAAATCCTCAGCTGATATGAAGCCACCGGAGATTGCAGCAAGACCATACTGCTGATGTACGAGTTCGGTATGAACTTCCTCTACACCACGAGCTTCGATCATTCGTTTTGTAGTTTTATATCTAAAATACGCTGTATGAAGAAAAAAGTTAAAGGAACACCGATTGTAGAAGACTTATAACGAGTATTTCTCATCACCCACTTTTTTTCTCCTCTTTCTGGGTCGTAAAAAGGCTCAGGAGGCATTTTGGGAAGTTTCATAGCGCCATCAGGAGGAAAGCTGACATCTAAAAACAACAGCTTATATTGACACGGCGACATGGTCGCTTAAATACTCACTCTCAAAAGTTACTGGAAAGGGATACTTTCTTAGTCCTCTTTTACTACGAACGATAACACTTCCCAGCTCCTGGAGCAGCGCCCTGTGGGAGGCCCAACTCATAAGTGTCTCCCCTGAGTGGCGAAGCTTAGGAAATCTAAAAAGATGAGACAACTCTTTGCCTGAACTCTTGGATTGAACTTGTGCGTGAA